CATCATCATCATCATCATCATCATCATCATCATCATCATCATCATCATCATCATCATCATCATCATCATCATCATCATCTCATCATCATCATCATCAGCATCTGCAGCAGCAGCATCACCGGCCCCATTTTCATACGTATCCTTACCATCAGCATCATCAGATTCGCGGTCCTGATAATCGTCATCATCATCGTCATCATCATCGGCATCATCCTCATAATCATCATCACTATCAGCATCATAGTCATCATCGTCATCACCATCATCAACATCATCGGCATCATCATCCTTCTCATCACCATCATAATCATCATCATCATCAGAATCATCATCATCATCATCAGCATCATCATCATCAGCAGCAGCAGCAGCATCATCATCATGTTCCTTCCTTCCCTCCTCTTCTTTCTCCTCCTCCTCCTCCTCCTCCTCCTCCTCCTCCTCCTCATGCGCAGGCGGCGGGCCCATCCACGGGCCTGGGGCACTGGTGAATTTCTTTGGGGGCGCGACGATGAACCTGAGTGCCGCGTCCTCGCCCCGGAACGGCCGCCCTCGAAACTCGGCGGCTAGATCGCCAGGCGCCTGGGTGGCGTCGCGTGCAAGGGCGGCGCGGGGTTGACGCGCTGTGGCGCGGAGCAGCGCCGCGCTCAGCTCGGCGCCCCAGCACGCGTCGACGGCGCAGGCGGCGGCGTCGGCCTCTGGTCCGTCGTCGGGCAACCGGGCGCGGCCGCGCGCAAGCCAGCGCAAATGCTTCAGCGCCGCTGGCCGGCGACGCCCAGCCGTCTCCAGGCTGAGCGGCAGCGCCCGCCAGAGCACGCGGCCAGCGGGGCTGCGACCTCGCTTGTCGCTCCCCCTCGCGCCGTCGGGGCGCGAGATCCTGGCCAAGCAGCGCCCGCGCTGTGTCCAAGTAGACGTCGTCGTCGTCCTCCAGCGGCTGCCCAGGCCCACCGTTCGCCAGCTGCCAGCCGGCCGCCTGGGCGCCGCCGCAGGAGCGGAATCGCGCCCACTCCTCGGTGCCAAGGATGCTCAGCATGGCGTTGTGTTTTAGTGCAAATTCTACGCATGAGCATTTTCTGTTTTTTTCCATAAAAGGCCACGCTCCCACCAGAATGGCAGCGGCGAAGCCTCCTCCTCCTCCTCCTCCTCCTCCTCCTCCTCCTCCTCCTCCTCCTCCTCCTCCTCCTCCTCCTCCTCCTCCTCCTCCTCCTCCTCCTCCTCCTCCCCTCCCCTCCTCCTCCCTCCCTCCTCCTCCTCCCTCTCCTCCTCCTCCTCCTCCTCCTCATCCTCCTCCTCCTCCTCCTCCTCCTCCTCCCTCCTCCTCCTCCTCTCCTCCTCCATCTCCTCCTCCTCCTCCTCCTCATCATCATCATCATCAGCATCATCACCACCACCATCATTATCAACATAATCATTGCTAGACTTATCCTTGTCATGTTTCCTCCTCCTCCTCGTCATCATAAGCATCCTCATAATCATCATCAGCATAATCCGGATCATCGCCATCACAATCATCAGCAGCATAATTCTCCTCATCAGCATCAGCATCATCAGAATCAGCATCAGCATTATCCCCAATACACGATGCATCCTGTCTGCCCCCGTATCATTCCCATCCTGCCTGATGGTCGTATCCCCCTCAACCTAATTCGTGAAAATGATCATCACCATAATCAGCATCATCGTCATCATCACCAGGACCATCATCATCACCACGATCAACACCATCATCGCCATCATTATCAGCATCATCCGCGTCACCTTTGCCATCATCATCAACATACTCATCCTCCTCCCCATCCTCATTATCGTCCTCCCCGACATCCTCATCATCCACAGCATCATCCTCATCATCATCACAAGCAGCAAAGTTATCACCATCATCGTCATCATATTCGTAATCTACACCATCATCATCAGCATCACCAGCGTCAGCATTATAACCATCATCGCCATCATCACCACCATCGCCGACAGCACAATCATTGTCGTCATCGTCATCACCGTCAGCATTATCATCCATCAACAGTATCATCATGATCCCCATTTGCATCACCAGCATCAGCATCTTCGTCATCACCAGCATCGTCATCAACATCAACATCATCAACACCATCGTCACCATCAACAACAGCATCACCATCATCGTCATCATCGCGAACGGCATCATCACCGTCGTCGCCACCGCCACCGTCGTCGCGCTTGTCATCGCACCCGCCGTCGTCATCATCACCATCCCTCTCATAATCGACATCTTCAGCGTCATCACCATCGCCGTCGCCACCGCCACTTCCAACGCAATCATCATCGCCACCACCATCATCACCACCACCACCATCATCATCAGCATTATCCGCATTACCATCATCATCACCAACAGCAGCATCATCATCATCATCGTCATCATCATTGCCATCGGCATCATAGTCATCGTCGCCGTCGTCGCCGCAACCATCGACGTCATCGTCGTCATCGTTGTCGCCGTCATCATCGATATCACCAACACCAGCATCAGAATCATCACCATCGCCATTGCCAACATCATCATCATCATCATCATCATCATCATCATCATCATCATCATCATCATCATCATCATCAGCATCAGCATCAGCATCAGCATCAGCATCAGCATCAGCATCAGCATCAGCATCATCGTCGTCGTCACCGTCGCTGTCGCCATCGCCGTCGCCGTCGCCGTCGCCGTTGCCGCCGCCGTCGCCGCCGCCGTCGCCGTCGCCGCCGCCGTCGTCGCCGTCGTCGTCGTTGTCATCGTCGTCGCCGTCGTCATCATCATCACAATTGATCGCGGCAACGCGAAAGAAAGATGAGCAGCGAGCACAGGAGGCGGATCAGCCTCCACGAGTCTGCGGGCAAACTGCCCCTGACCCAGACCTCGGAAGGGACGCACGGCCCATTTAGCCACTAGAATCGTGAGAGACGGCATCACCATCATCAGTGTCATAATTCACTATCAGCACCATCAGCATGATCACCATCATCATCATCATCATCATCAGCAGCAGCAGCAGCAGCATCATTATCATCATGATCGTCATCATCGTCATCGTCGTCCGCATTATCATTACCATCATCGTCATCATCATAATCCCCCTCCTCCTCCTAATCATCGTAAGCCTAGTCATCCTGGTCATCGTCATCGTCATCAGTAGCAGCATCGTCATCGTCATCGTCGTCGTTGTCGTCATCATCATCATCAGCAGCATCATCATCATCGGCATCATCCTCATAATCATCATCATCATCATCAACATCATCATCATCATCATCATCATCATCATCATCATCATCATCATCATCATCATCATCATCATCATCATCGTCGCCGTCGTCGTCGTCGTCATCGTTGTCGCCGCCATCATTGATATCACCAACACCATCATCAGAATCATCACCATCGCCATTGCCAACATCATCATCATCATCATCATCATCATCATCATCATCATCATCATCATCATCGTCATCGTCATCGTCACCATCATCATCATCATCGTCATCATCATCATCATCATCATCATCATCATCATCATCATCATCATCATCATCATCATCATCATCATCATCACCATCGGCCTCCTGTTCCAAATTCAGACGAGGCCAGGACTGGGACAAAGTCGGACCTGGACAAATCGGGGACCTCTGAGATCTGGCAAATCAAGAGCACGTACAGGACTCCGCGGCTGTTCTGGAGCGCTCTGGAACCCTCTGAGGGCGTTACGGCACGGCCTGGAACGATTCATTCCAGTCCTTGCCTGGCCCGAGGAATTTGGCGGCGCGCAAAGGGGGGTCGGGGGAGGGGCAAGTCCTCTTAGGAGGAGGCTGCTTCATAGAAGGCGCCAGCCTGACATCTACAGACAAGGCCTGCGCCTTCTAAGAAGCAGGGGTGGTTCTAAGAAGGCTTCCCCCCTCCCCTACCAATTCTGCGCGCGGCCGAGTGCAATCCCCCACCTCATCAGCATTCTCATCCCTCCCCTACTGACCAGCAAGAGTTCGGGCAGGGGGGCATGGCCAGGAGACGCCCCACCACCATGGGATAAGATGGAGGTAGAGGAGGAGCAGAAGGAGGAGGAGGAGGAGAAAGAGGAGAAAGAGGAGAAAGAGGAGATGATGAGGCGCAAAAGGAAGACAAGATGAGGAGGAGGACGAGGAGAAGAAGAACGTGAAGAAGGAGGCGAGGTGGAGGAAGAGGAGGAGTCGAAGGAGGAGGAAGCGGAGGACGAGGAGTGGGCGAAGGAGGAGGAGGACGAGGAGAACGTGGAGGAGGAGGCGAATGAGGAGGAAGACGGAGGCGAAAGAGGGCAACGACGACGGAGGAGGGAGGGGGGAGGATGGTCGGGAGGAAGAAGAACTGAACATCAATAATCCTGGCGAAAGACCCAACGATAAGTAGTTGTGAATACAGTGTGGTGGCACCACTTTCGGTGGAGCTCCCTATTGGGCCACGAACCGTGTAAACGGTGAGCCAGAATGGGGCGACACCACCAAGCGAACCCCACAATTGGGGCTTGGGGTGGAGCTCCCTATGGGGCCACGAGCCGTGTCAGGGGTGCGCCAAAAATGGGCGGCGCCGCCGTGTGGACCCTGCCACTGGGGCCTCGAGCTGAAATCCCTATGGGACCACGAACGTTGCGAGGGGTGCGCCAACACGAGGCGGCGCCGCCATGTGGACCCTGCTGCTGGAGCCTTCGCTGGAGCTCCCTATGGGGCTACGTGCGCCAAAATGGGGCAGCGCCGCCATGTGACCCTGCCGCTGAGGCCTTCGGTGGAGCTCCCTACGGGGCCACTGGGTGTGCCGAAACACAGACACGCGGAGGGCAGCGGCAGGGATGAGGAGGGAGGAGGGGGGGACGAGGGAGAGGAGACGCGGGGCGCTGTCTCCTCAAAACGAGGACCCAACACCACAGGATGGCTGGGAAAAAACAGTGGGAGAAAGGAGGATGGAGAAGAACAACGGACGAGGCCAAGAGAAGGGGAGTGGCCTGGCTGGCGATCTTGAGCCGGATCGTGGCCGTGACGTTGATCCGGTTCATGTACAGCAGGTCGAACACGTTCCTGCACGCCGCGAGGGCGACATGCACAGCCGGCCGAGACCCCGGATGGCCAGAACATTGGCTGCCACAACCGCTTTGGAAATTCATATCCCGGGGAAATTGAAAAATAAATTCGCCGGCCCAACGGGCCAGAGGCGTGCTAAGATCTCCGGTAACTGGTAAACAGTATTTCTGGTTCGCGCGCGCGGGGCGGCCCCTGGGGGTCCCTGGATCAAGAGTACCCCGAGAGGAGCCCGGGACACGCCCGGGACACTCCCCCAGATCCTCCAGGATCGCCCCAAGAGGGCCCCAAGAGGCCCCCAACATAATCCAAGAGAGGTCCGAGACGCCCGAAGATCGCTCCACGGCGCCCAAGATGGCCTCCAGACGGCCCAAGAGGTCTCCAAGATGACCCAACAAGCCTCCAAGATGCCCCAAGAGGCCTCCAGGAGCACTCCCAAGAGGGCCCCAAGAGGCAAAAATCAATGCTTTTTCTTAGGTTTTGGACAGATTTGGGCGTTTCAACCTTTTCGGTTCCCCGACGCCCCTAAACGGCTCAAGAGGCCTCCAAGATCGCCCCAAGAGGGCCCAAGAGGCCCTCAAAAGGGCCCCAAGACGGCCCAAGACGGCTCCAAGACGGCCCCAGAGGCCTCCAAGACGGCCCAAGAGGGCCCCAAGAACGCCCCCAACACGGTCCAAGAGAGGTCCGAGACGCCCGAAGATCGCTCCACGACGCCCAAGATGGCCTCCGGACGGCCCTCCGGACGGCCCAAGACGTCTCCAAGATGGCCCAAGAAGCCTCCAAGATGCCCCAAGAGGCCTCCAAGAGAACTCCCAAGAGGGCCCCAAGAGGCAAAAAACTGTGCTTTTCCTTTGGTTTTGGACAGATTTGGGCGTTTTAACCTTTTCGGTTCCCCGACGCCCCTAAACGGCTCAAGAGGCCTCCAAGATCGCCCCAAGAAGGCCCAAGAGGCCCCCAAGAGCCCCCTAAGAGGCCCCAGGGGAGCGTAAGACGCCGCCAAGGAGCCCCAAAACGCTCCCAAGAAGCCCCCAAGAGGCCCCCAAGACGGCCCCAAGAGGCCCCAAATAGCGCTCCAGGGCTGGCGGAATGAGCGAAGTGATTAAATAAATCAAAATGAACAAATCAAAATGATAACAATACGAATAATAATAATAATGATGATAATAATAATAATAATTTCATTATAATAATAATAATAATAATAATAATAATAATAACTAATAATAATAATAATAATACTAATAATAATAATAATGATAATAATAATAACAATAATAATAATAGTGATACTAATAATAATAATAATAGAAATAATAATACTATAAACACAAACAAACAAACAAACAAACAAACAAAGAAACAAACAAAAAACTTGAGGTCCGCGCGGACTTACGGGATCGGCGCTAGACCTCCCTCCCTGGCGCGCGCAGCGCGCCAGTGGCGGCAGCAGTGGCGGCAGCAGTGGCGGCAGCAGTGGCGGCAGCAGTGGCGGCACCAGAGGCGCCACCAGAGGCGCCGCCAGGGGGCTCCAGCGCCAGTCCAAGAGCACGCGCGGAGCTCACCCAAGGCGTGCGCCGATGCCGTGCTTCTCATCTCCGGCGGAGGCGTCCGTGCCCGCTGCCTCCCGAGGCCCCCGGGAGCTCGGGACGGCCAGCTCTCCCAGCCTGGACCCGCGGGAGCCCGTCTCGGGCCCCCGGGGCCCACGTGGAGGATGATGGGAACGCTGACGGCGACGGTGACGATCGATGGCGCTGATGCTGATGATGCTGCTGATGCGGCTGCTGATGCTGATGCTGATGGTGATGGTGATGATGATGATGATGATGATGATGATGATGATGATGATGATGATGATGATGATGCTGCTGCTGCTGCTGCTGCTGCTGCTGATGATGATGATGATGATGATGATGATATGGTGATGGTGATGGTGATGGTGATGGTGATGGTGATGGTGATGGTGATGGTGATGGTGATGGTGATGGTGATGGTGATGGTCATGGTGATGGTGATGGTGATGGTGATGGTGATGGTGATGATGATGATGATGATGATGATGATGACGGTGGTGGTGGTGGCGACGACGACGACGACGACGATGATGATGATATGATGATGATGATGATGATGATGATGATGATGATGATGATGATGATGATGATGATGATGATGATGAATGAGACAATGATGATGCTGATGGTGATGCTGATGATTGTGAATGTGACAATGATGATGCTGATGGTGATGCTCCTGATGCTGCTGATGGTGATGGATTATGCTCCTGAAGCTCCGTTGCGTTCTGATTTGTCTCATTCATACCCGTAACCGAGCGAAGGAGTCCAGGGAGACCGCAGTTGGAAGCAGGGTGGCCTGAGGAAATCTCCAGAGGCTCCCAGAAGGCGCCCACGGGGCCTCCAGAAGGCCCCAAGAAGCCATGTGAAACGTTCATAAGGCCCCAAAGAAGCTCTCCAAGGAGGAGCCTCCGTAAAAAGGGCGGAGGAGAATGTGGAATAATTCGCAGGGGAGGACGAGAATCAGAAAGAGGAAGAGGAAGCATGAGGAAAGGACGTCGAATTACATTAGTATGACGCAGATGCCAGACAAGGCAACGAGGAGTTATCGCTTTTGTTCTGGTTCATATTCCTGCCCTTCGGCCGCGACTTCCGCCTGCAACCGAATATTCCAGGAGAAAGGGCACGTCGCGAAGCGCAAACACAACGTTGCATGCAACCGTATACGTACATAGAAATAGACGCATGCATAATATTTGTATATATATATATAGATATATATATATGTGTGTATGCGTACATGTGTGTGTACGTATGTACGAATGCGTGTATGTGTGTGAATGTGTGCGTGTATGTATGCATGTATGCATGTATGTATGTGTGTAAGTATGTATGTATGGATGAATGCATGTATGCATACTTGTCTGTACACATGTATATATATATGTGTCATATGTATGTATGTTTGTTCGTATGTATGTGTATATACGTGTATATGTATGTGTGGATGTGTGTATGCATGTTTGTATGTATGTATGTGTGTGTATGTATGAGTGTATGTATGGATGTCCCTCGTAACCAGTGTATGTATGGATGTATGTATAGATGTAGGTGTGTATAAAAGTAGATGTGCATGTATGTATGTATGTATGTGTGATGTATGTATGGATGTACGGATGGATAGACGGATTGATGCGTATGTGAGTGTGTATGTGTATGTGTCTATGTATGTACGTACGCACGTGTGTATGCATGAATAATGAATGAATGAATGAATGAATGAATGAAAGAATTTGTGTATGTACGTACGTACGTATGTATGTACGTATGTATGTATGTACGTATACATATATATGGTCCCGCTATACTAAAAGTAGGTTCACTCCTGCGCGTCGTTCTCCTCGTTATCGTACTCATTCATGCCTCTCCTGATCATCCTCCTGGTCGTCCTCTTCCCCCTCGTCACCATCACCATTACCACCATCATCAACACCCATCAATACATACACCTCCACCTCTTCGCACCCTGCTCATTCTGCGCATCCTCCTC